AAAATAAATAAGTAAATTTAAATTTCCTAAATTAAAAATTAAATATATTAAAATTTAATTAGTATTTCATTTAATACAAAATATCTATCTTTTTTATAAAAATATATATTTATAACAATATATCCGGAATGGTATGCGAAAAATTCTGATATCCAATATGTACCATTTTAATAGCATAATTGATATGTATGTCGTTACTGTATTGACAACTTTGATTAAAAGTACATTCTAAACAGAGGATCAAAACACAAAAGACTCAAAAGCATGCATTATGTATTTAAATTTAAAAGAAGGGAAGATAGTTTTCTCAACAACTCATAGCAAGTAAATTTTTTGATACTACATAACATAACATCGATGTGCGTACCTCACATCCAGCTTCTAGAGCCAGTTTGAAAAATGCAAGTGAAATTGAATGCTTAGAAGCCGACCCGGCGAGCTTAATCCGAGATAACCAGTATGAGGCTTTTGACAGGTCACTGAACTTCCTTACACTAGCAGATCTGGAAGCAGCATCCGGAATTTGTGTTCCACTTTTGCCTTTAAGATTGACAGGCCTCTTAGGTCTAGACTCAGATATTGGAGTTACGTTCGAGGCCAATTTTGGGGAGGGATTGGTTGTTGTTGACTTCGCAAGAATAGAGAGCCTTCGAGGTGGCTTAGCTGATTTCTTCTTGCCAGAGAGCTCAAGCACACTGACACTCTAATTACATTCGATGCTGGTCTCTCCCTTAGTGTAGAACAAAAAGAAAACCGCACTTGCATGGGTCAATTGGAATTATGCTGCTAAGTGCTTACAGCTCTAAAACAAATTGTTTTGATACACCAGAAATCAACTATTTCTTCAACCAATGATATTGGAATCACATAACCAGTTGAATAAGATTAAAATCTTGTGTTTTGCAGTTCAGACTGTTTCAAACTGAAAAACACCAACAATTAGATGTAGGAGTCCTCCCTCGTTATCTAGGAGTCCCTCCTAGTCCAATATTAGTGTTTTGTAGACTGCAAAACCCATTTTTTGTAATATAAAGACACATCCATCGAAAGGATATACATGTATATATGTTTAATAGTTCAGACCAGGAAAAAAAATTATCAATCCGGAGTGAAAATGTCATTTTTGCCTTTAATGAATCAGTCAGCGATATCATCACTTTATTAAAGGCAGAAGAAATGACATTTCCAGCCCAAACTGATAATTCTTTTGGCAGTCCAAACTAAAAAACTGCATCCACATCTGGCAAAACACATTCCATTAACGGCTTCTCAAAATCATACATTTTACCATAATTGGCATTATTCTATGCCCACTGCTTATATAATATATGAGTTTTTCTACCATATGCCTGAGAACATCCTATTAGCATTAATTATCTTTGAAAAAATAAAACTTGATATATATATATATATTTTTTGAACATAAATAAAACTTGATATTTTAATCAACTATTTAACTAAAAACGATATATGTAGTATTGATGATAAAATTAATCTTAATTTTATTATTTTTTATATTAATTAATATAAAAAAATTATACACTTAATTTATACCCTAAGGGCAGGTAAATCCATAATATATTTTTATTTTTTTTAAGTCAGTTTTTAACGAACGCTTGGAGGGTATTAAAAAAAAAAAAAAA